AAACTGAAGCTGTGAACAATCTCAATCTCTTCACCATCCATCCTGATGCTACCAATTGGTCCAGTGGTGAGAATCTTTGTCTTCTTGACATTGACTAACTAGGGTTAATGTCTAGGTGACAGGAGGAGGGGAAAGGCCCAGTTCCAGCTCCAAGAATCAGAAAGACTGGAAAAGATGTCTTCACTTCGGCACCTGTGGCTAGTGATATCTGTCATTTCTGATGCTTATTCTCTCATTTGTTCACCAATATTTATTGAGTACCTACTTTATGCCTGATAATATATTGGACATTAATTACACAACATGTAAATCATGCCTGTACTAAAGAAGTATAATACCCATACTCCCAGAAACCCTGGGAGAGAGATGACTAGGAAATAAACAATTATTAAATAACGTAATAAATGCTGCCAAGTGCATACTAGAATCACCTAATTCACTATGTGAAACTAAAGAAGACTTTCTCTAATATAATTTACCAGTCATTACCAACTCAGATGGGAACCATCGTGTTGAAGTTGGTTTTACAGAGGCAATAGGGCCTATAAATGATATCATTGTATTAATTTAAAACATACAGGTATGACTGAAGCTGGGTCCAGAAGAAGATGGATTACTGGAGTACTGAGAAGCTTGTCAAAGCCAGTCTTGGTTTTGTTGAGGTTAGAGTTTCCTAGCTTATTTAGTACCCAGAACTACTCAGAGAGCCATGATGAAGATAAATAAATACATCTCCAGCTGTGACTAGGTTCTCTGACTAAAGAGAGACTATGGAAACTCCCCATAACTGAGGTTCTGAAATTTCCTCTGGAAGAGTCCTGGACAAATCCGTTTACCTTTTTCTTAGGAAAGTCCTAAGAAGAGGGAAATTTAAGCATTTTCTTATTAAACTAAAATCTCCCTCTTCCTCCTTCATCCCCCAAAATGACATGACACTTCTAAGGCCTATGTCATATAATTGTGTGCTGTCAAGTCCATTCTGACAGCAACTTTATAAGGGCAGAATAGAATTGGGGCGAAGAGTTTCTTAGGCTGAAAATAATTTTGGAAGAAAATCACCATTTCTCCTGCAGAGCAGCTGAGGGATCGTGCGTTCTAATCCCTGGTCTTTCAGTTAGTAGCCAAACTCTCGTTAGTAGCCACTGCTACTATGTAATAATGGCTAGTAACCATTGAACCAAAAGGGTTCTTTGCAACATATACGAAACCAAAACCAAATTAGCTTTTGTTAGTTGGTTCTTACTCGTGATGACCCCTATCGGCTTATTGTATTAAAGGGAGCAGACTGCCATGCAATCTAGAGCAGGTCATGGATGCGAACCTTCAACATGTGGGTTAACAGCTGAACACTTTATGCATTATGTCAACCGGATTCTTTTATAGGATATTTTAAAATAAGAAAGCCACAACAACAAAAAGCCACTTTGATCAAGTGGGTCCGACTCAATAGCGGTTTCCTTCATAGAATTTCTTTAGGGAGGACACTGCCCACCTTTTTCTCCCCCGGAGTGGTGGATTCCAAACGCTGAACTTTTGGTTAGCAGTCCGACATTAGGCTACCCGCGTTTTTCACAACACACTCAAAACTCAAACTCACTGTTGGTTGAGTCGGTTCCAATTTATAGCGACTCTTCATCGGTTTTCCAAGACAGTAAATCACAAAGGATAATAATTACTTGTTGAGTGAATAAACCATGAAAAGATAGTTATCTGAATATTACATGTCACTTAATGAGCATATTGGAAGGCAGACAAAAGGAAAGTGGGTCACTCTAGGTCTTAGAAAGTTTTCGTTCTTTTTAAGAACTCCTTTCCTAGGTCAGAAGTGAAACCCATCGACGCCCTAGTCTAAATAAGGCTCCTATGCAACCTCAAAACTACAAGTCCCATAAGGCCAGCCGCTGGGAGCCATCATACTGATCCATCTTAGTGCGCATGTCGGCGGGAGAGCGAGCATTTGGAGAGAAGAAGCCCCGCCCCTTCACAACCCATTGGTGGAAGCATCCGGCAACGGGCTCCGCGGTTGGCCACCGCGCCCGCCCGTCTGCTGCGTCGGTCGGGGTCAGAGTGCGCGGAGGTGAGTCGGTGTGTTGTGGACTCGTGGTGCTGGCTGCCGCTGTTGAGGCGGCCCAGAACGGGCGGTGGGGAGCGGGCGGAGCTGGTCTTTCGTCGGCCTGGCCAGCGCCGCAGTCGGCGCGGGCCGCGCCCGTCGCCATAAACTCTCCTGAGCGCCTGCTGAGGCTGGGGGAGACATCGGGGCCTGCACCTGAAGGGAGCCTGCGGCGCTGGCCCCGAGGAGGGGGCGTTGCCATGGCGACAGCCTCTCCTGCAGCGGACGGGGGGCGGGGGCGGCCCTGGGAAGGAGGGCTGGTCTCCTGGCCCCCTGCCCCTCCCCTTACGCTCCCCTGGACTTGGATGGGCCCAAGTTGGGGGCAATACCCTGGGGTGGGTGATGCAGAGAGGCCCCCAAATTGGGCCTTGGTTGATGCATGCGGGGTGAGGGTCGCGGCGCGCACAATTTGTGTAGCCACGGGTGCTGGCTCATGTCCTCACCCTGAATGCATGATCTGTGTAACATTTTAATGGAGAGGGAACAGGCGGGGCTTTTAAAGACATTCTGGGCGAGCTGATTAAGGAGGTTGACTTCTTAATTGAGATTACTTGGGGAAGAGATTTGATCAGAGATTAATAGATAGTAGATAGTGCATCCCCTGAATGCCCCTCCAATACACATAAGGTTACCAGGCTCCCTTTTTGTAAACGCGTGGTGGTGATAGAGGTGGTAGTGATCTGAGTGATTAGAGGCCTAAAGTGGCTAGCTTTCTTTTTGTCTTTCCTGCAGAAGTCCAGCAACAGGTGTCTTCTTGCAAAAGCATGAACTTGGTTTGGGGCTTGACTGAGTTTTCTATATAACTGCGTGTTGATTCGGAAGATAATGGATGAAGGCCCATTCATTTGGAGTTTGAATTCTGTCCATAGAGGTGGATTTTACAAACCAGTAGTGTCCCTCATTACCCCTGCTAGAGGCCAGTTCTTTGGCGTTTACTGTTGTTAGACATTTCATCAGACTCCCTGTTACAGACAGCTAAATGTGAATCCTCTTGTCCAAAGACTATATGCTGTTTGCGCTGTATAGTAGGTTGTGATTGGCTGAAGGATTTTTGATTGTAGTTTCTGCCAGAAATTGACTTCATCAAATTCTGCTTTATTCTGACTTGATCATACACAGCATTCCTTGTTTTAGTGGGTTTGTGATTTGAGCTTAAGTATATTATACCTGAGTCTCCTACCATTTAAAAACCAATTTATAAACAAGGCCTTGGAGTGTGACTCCGGTAATGTGTGTGTGTCTGTGATCTTGGGTTAGAAACCCACTTGGCTGCCTTTCCTCAGAGAGGTGAGGGTTGGGGGAAGGGAGCTGCCGGGAAGTGATTGATAAGGTTTCCTTTATGGATTCTGTGGTGCTTCACTGGAGCTCAGAGCACTTTGGCAACTGAAGCACTCCAAATTAAAAGCTCATTAACAGTTCTTGCCCAAAGATCCTGTAAAGAATCTATCTGCTCGCTTGGTCATAGAGCTTGAGTGAGAGGTCTTCCATCTTGAAATCTCCAAATAAAAGTGCTTTTATTCCTTCTCATTTTGAAAAGTGTTGTTTGTGTGTGTGTGTGATTGTGTATGAGTTGTGTTTTCCTACATGATCTTAGTAGTGAAGTCTTAAGTGGGTAAAGTGGTAGATAGAAATTTGTTCTAGCCCTTGGTGTTCATGCAGAGGGCATTGCCAGACTTACAAGGTCATGTATCTGTAACTTCCAAGTGATAAAGAGGATAGATGCCTGGTGATGAGTTGACTGGGTGTTGAGTTATCTTGACTGTCTTAGGACTTGATGCAGATCTGGAAGTACCTTGGAAATGTTCCCTGGTCTGTATTGCCAATTTGCAGTGTGACCTGTGAGTTTGTGAATGAACCACTCCCATAACCTTAAGTCACTACCCTGATTTCTGAATACAGTCTTAAATGCCTTCAGGACCATGTTTCTCAATCCTAGCTCATACATTGTAAATGTTTAGTGTTTCTAGGAAATAGACCCCTGTAGGAAGGAAAGTATTACACAAAGTTCATTCCAAAAACAATTACAGCACTAGTAACTGTTGAAAGCTCTGTACAGATACTGTCCTATATAGTTGTACTCCTAGGATAGTTTGAGTTTAGGAGTTTGAAACATAGTGTAGTCCTTAAATTGTTAAAAATAGTGTGAGGATATGATCCTTTATGTTGAAATAGACTTGTTGCAGAAATCTGTATTTATCCACAGCATTGGGGCTTTCCAGCTCTCACAGACCATTCAGCATCCCCTGCTGCCAGTCTTGGCATCTTTGAAGTCCGAAGAGGTGAGAATCCTGCTGCATGGTCAAGTTTGGCTTGGCTTCTTTCTCCTAAGTTTTTTATTTTGTGGGTGGGGGTTAGGGAGCAGACACAGATTGTACTTTTCTGCTTCAGCTTCTGATAAAACAGCATATGCTCAAAGCCTATTGCAACTCATCTAAAGCTTAGGCAAGTGTTCTTTGTTTTATTGTACTTTGCCAATACTTGTGGGGCTTTTTTACACATTGAAAGTTTTGGCAATTGTGAGCTGAACAAGCCTGTGGGGGTCATTTATCCAACAGCATGTGCTCACTTTGTGTCTCTGTGTCACATTTTGGTAATTCTCAAAATATTTCAAGACTTTCCTAATATTGTTTCATACTTAATAGATTAGAATATAATGTAATCACAATTTATTTGCCCTTTGAAACCAAACATTTCTTGTGACTTGCTTTATTGTGATAATCATTTTATTGTAATGGTCTGCACCCAATCCTGCACCATCTCTGAGGAATACCTGTAGAATGATGTGGGTTGTAGGTGAGGGATACAGTCCTTTAAGTTCTGTCATGATATCTTTATGGCCATCTCATGAGTACGTATTTTAGGTTTAGGTTGGTTGAGTAGGTCCAGTACAGCCTTTTCTCCTCAAAAATACCCATGTTAAGATGGTAGGAAGAAATGCACTCATTTGGCTTTTGATAATGTATTTGATCAAGGCCTTTGGAATCTTAGTTTATTTTGATCTATGGATCACCTTTGGGTAGATGGTTACTATCAGATTCTTTCCATTTTGCAAGAATCAGACTTTAAAATGATGGACTTTAATGATGAATATATTGCAAGGGCCTACTATGTCAGAGATGTTGAGGCCAACACAGGATAAGGTTCAGGTCTGTTGTTCATAGGATTGTTAGGAGTCATACTCGACTTGGCACGGACCACCACCACCACTAAGGGCCAGCACTTAGTAAGATGCTGAGGTTGTGGACCAGAGAGATCCTTTATGAAACAACCTAAACCTAAATAAACATGTAGATTGGTCAGGAGATACAGAGTAAAGAGGCAGTTACAGCATACTCATTACCATGACAATGAAAATATAGGTGCTTTAAGAGAAGGGACACTGCCTAGACTTGTGGTCTCATAGGTGTCTTTTTAGAGGAAGTTACCTCCTTTGAATTAAGTCAGAGTGAAGGGTGGAGGATGATCAAACCCTTCTTAAGTTACAGAAACTACTATTCAGAGTAGATGAAATGGGGCAGGGGACAGAATAATGTGCAACAAGCTGGAAAAGTAAGCAGAGGCCAAGGTCTTTATGAAGTTTTAAAATTAGTCTTTCAGCCCTAAAAAAGGGTAGGATTGGGATGGTGGATTATACCAAGAGCCTGCAAGCTGTTTGGTTGTTACCCCCTTGCCCCTGGAAAGGGCTAAATAGTACATATTTAGACTTTATGGGTTATTGCTAAAACTACCCTGCTCAACTCGTCTTCTATGAAAGTAGCCATAGTACATGAACAAGTGATCATGGCTGTATTTTGATAAAATTGTATTTATAAAACAGGTGGTAGGCTGGATTGACCCATAGGCAGTGGTTTTATGACCCTTGTATGAGATAATCATGACAACAATAAGGAGCTATTAAAAAGTTTTAAGTGGGTTACTGTGAGATTTGTAATTTATAAAGTTTGCTCTGATTTGTGTGAAGAATGGACTGGAGGGAATGACAGTGGAAGCCAAGAGACCAGAGTGAGGGACCTATGACATTTACATGGACTGCATCTTATATTTCCCCTGTTGTGACAGTGTTTTGTGTAAATGTGCATGTTGATTCTTGTTACTAATTTCCTGGCCATCAGTAAATTTATTGGTGATAGTAGCTCTTGTTTCATAGACTTATAAACGTGTAGGAAGAGGAATGTTGGTTTGGAAGCAAAGAGATTTGGAAACTATTTTCGAACGAAAAAATTACGGGCTCAGTGGAGCTCTGGAAAGGATCTTGGTTTTAGAGCTCAAAGTGTAAAGTCACTTATTTTGAATTTCTAGAACATAACATAGAGGATGCCCCATTTCTCCCATTTCTAAGTTTCCCACTGAACTGTCCTTATCCTGTTGTCCTCAGTTTCTCTCTCCTGGCTCATGGCAAACTGCTCTTCTTTTCTTGGTTTTGAAACTGGCTCTCAAGTACTGGTATGTTGCTACAGGTCAGGCACAGGGACCAAATAAATTATGTGTGGAGTGTCCAGTGAATAGTTTGGAGCTCAAAGTCCTTTGCCTACTCTTTTCCTTTATCCTTCTCTTCCTTTAAACCCTAGTGAACTTGCATCATTGTGTCTTGTAGGATTTTAGTAACACTGTATGACTTTGGTCAAGTGACTTGTCTTTCAAAGTTTTTCTTTCATCATCAGTAAAATGGCAATAATGGAACTTCTTGTTATGTGCCATTGAATTAGTACTGATTCAAAACAACTGTGTGTGCAATGTAGCAAAACACTGAATGGAACTTATTAGAATTGGTTTAAGGTTTTAAGGAGATTATTCATTTCAAACTCTTAGGAAAAAACATCTTGATAACTTTTATTATTGATGGTATTTAACAAAAGTGGCCAGGAATTGGGAGACTTGAACTTTGGCTCAGTTTGTATGGAGTTTTCACTCTTTGAAGTGTAGCCTTTGCTTGAATCCAGCAGACAAGAAGAAATGATAATGAAAGTAAGATGCTGTTCTTCATAATAGTAAATTTCTAATGGGAATTCCATCCAGAATCCGAAAACTTTCTGCAGTGTGGACCTTAGCCCCAAGAACATCCATGAAGTTAATTGAATGAGCAGCTTCCTAGTAGAGATTCACCAGAGTAGATAATCCATTTCTCCCTGTCTCTTTGGGATGATTTTCCAGTGTTGCTACCATCCTGGTCCTACATCTTTTTTAAATACCTCTCAAATGTTTGTGTTGCTTGTGACCATCACTTTGAGAAGTAGGTTAGTCCGCATTATTGCCCCTGCAAGTATATCAGAGATGATGTGGCAGGGTTTAGATTCATTGTTCATGGGGTTGCTGTGAGTTTTAGTTGACTCGGTGGCACCTAACAACAACAACAACAACAACAACAACAACAACAACAACAACAACAATTCATCTAAGGAAACTGAGGCTCAGAAAGTCTGAGTTGCCCAGAGTCTTGCTGTGAGGTGCTGTCACAGCTAGAGCAGATTTGCTTCCAGATGAAATTGTGCTGGTTTATTGCTGTGATTTCTCTTTCCTTCAGTGAGAGATGAATAGTTACTGAAAAATTAGTGTCTGATGCATACTTTGCCCAGATGTGCTATGCTTAATTTGGGTCCCACTTTATCTACTTGTTCCTGTTGGGTTTTAATTGATGACTGCTGAGACCAGGCCTGTTTGGGAAGCAGATTCCCTTTAGGTCATTGTTTTTAGCCTGTCCTCTTTTGGTGACATTCCTGGGGGAGCCTTGGGTTACAAGGGATTGCTTTGATATGTTCAAAATTGTGCCTTGTGCCCCACAGCTACAGGTAAAATCAAAAGGCAGATAATTTATGGGAGTGTCAGAGTTGGCCGCTGGCACCTCAGGAGGCCATTAGTATGCCTGTTCAGACCCTCTGTGTCCTTGCAATTGATTCCTTTTTGCATGAGCCTGATTTGGGAAGCTGTAGATCTGTGGGTAGTGATTGGATGTGACAGTCCAAACACCGATCCCTAAATTAATCCTTTTAATAGTATTCCGGCACCAAAGTAATTCTCTGTCTCTAAACTGAGGAGGACAGGATGGGGTGGGCTACGAAGAAGGTTAGAAAGAGAAAGGGGAAAGGAAAGCAGTTTTGCTTGGTGCTTAGGACCCTCTGTTCTGGAATGTTCTGATTGCAGAATACCTGGCATCATGATTTTGGTCATACTGATTCATTTGCTGAACATTTAGTCACATTTACTTTATGCCTGGCCCTGTGCTGGGTGCTGGGGATGTAGAAATGAACATGGCCCTTGCTCTTAAGGATGTATGTTTCCTCAGACTTTTAAAACTCATGCATAATTTAGACAGACAGATTTCAGGCTCTTCTTTAATGTTACTTGAAATTTCAAGTAACATTAAAAGGTCTGACTAAAATCTACAAAACAGCCAAAAGTGCTTTTTTTATACATACCATGTATATCTGCTACCTCCCATCCTGCACTTGCTCTCTGAAAATTGCTTATAGTAGGAAAAGCAGATACCTAACATTGTAGAGTGTAGTGAAATGAAAGTTATGAAATAGAAATAAATTATGCTATTCTAGCATACTTAACAATTATCTTTATATGGGGGTGCCAGGGAAACCTACTAAAAGGAGGAGATTGGAGCAGGATTTTGAAGCAGCAGCAATAATTTGCCTGGTTTAAAAAAAAATAGAGGAAATAGATTCCAAAATAGAGGGAGTAGCATTTGCCAAGGCTCAGATTTATAGAGGAAAATGCCATATTTGGAAACCTGAGCAAGAGCTGCATTTATTGTCTTGTTCCGATTTCTCTACTCAGTAAAATGGGAAAACTTGTTTCCCCAGAATTGTATTTGACAAGATGCTTTGAGTTTCCATATGCTGCGATGCTCAGGTGTGATGTGTTTTTCTTTTAAAATACAAAAAGATAATTATGAAACATATTTGAATGACTTGGAAAAGCCTATTATTATATGTTTGAGTTATTGTTAGTTGAAGTCACACTTTATTTCCAAAAAACACCCTGAAAGTTGGTATGTGTTGTTAGCCCTGTGGCTGACAGGACATCAGGTAAGTGGGGAAAAGTAGACCCATCTGGTTAGGAAGAGGAGCACATAGTCTTGAAGCTGAGTGACCCTGAGCTTTAGTTTCTTCCTTTGCCAAATGGGAATATTACTCATTTTGTTTGATAGTTGGTAGGATTAATTAAGATAAAATATGACATCATCAATATAGTGCCTGGCTTGTAGTAGATTTTCAGAAAATGAGTTTCATTTTCCTTTTTACTTTATTGAGTAGTATGTGCCAGGTATTAT